TTTTCAAGTGTTTTTAATTTGTAGGTAAAGCTTATGTGGAAACGAGGGGATCCGCAAAGATCCTTCGATCTCGATTTCAAATCCAAGGTAGGTGATTTTAATACTATTTTTTTGTTTCCTATACATATATACTAATATCTATTTTAAATCTTTTTAGATGCATACGAGAGGGAGTGGCCGGATGATCGGACGACCGAATACATCATAGGGAGTAATTCGTCCCTTTCCTTTTACATTTATGCATTTTATTCAATTTAGCATTATGCATATAGAAATAGATTTATTTTTACGTCGGTCCCGGGACATGCATGCATTAATTTTTTTGTTTCTATATTTTATACTAACTTATTTTCAAGTGTTTTTAATTTGTAGGTAAAGCTTATGTGGAGACGAGGGGATCCGCAAAGATCCTTCGATCTCGATTTCAAATCCAAGGTAGGTGATTTTAATACTATTTTTTTGTTTCCTATACATATATACTAATATCTATTTTAAATCTTTTTAGATGCATACGAGAGGGAGTGGCCGGATGATCGGACGACCGAATACATCATAGGGAGTAATCCGTCCCTTTCCTTTTACATTTATGCATTTTATTCAATTTAGCATTATGCATATAGAAATAGATTTATTTTTACGTCGGTCCCGGGACATGCATGCATTAATTTTTTTGTTTCAATATTTTATACTAACTTATTTTCAAGTGTTTTTAATTTGTAGGTAAAGCTTATGTGGAGACGAGGGGATCCTCAAAGATCCTTCGATCTCGATTTCAAATCCAAGGTAGGTTATTTTAATACTATTTTTTTGTTTCCTATACATATATACTAATATCTATTTTAAATCCTTTTAGGATCATACGAGAGGGAGCGGCCGGATGATCGGACGACCGAATACATCATAGGGAGTAATCCGTCCCTTTCCTTTTACATTTATGCATTTTATTTAATTTAGCATTATGCATATAGAAATAGATTTATTTTTACGTCGGTCCCGGGACATGCATGCATTAATTTTTTTGTTTCTATATTTTATACTAACTTATTTTCAAGTGTTTTTAATTTGTAGGTAAAGCTTATGTGGAGACGAGGGGATCCGCAAAGATCCTTCGATCTCGATTTCAAATCCAAGGTAAGTGATTTTAATATTATTTTTTTGTTTCCTATACATATATACTAATATCTATTTTAAATCTTTTTAGATGCATATGAGAGGGAGTGGCCGGATGATCGGACGACCGAATACATCATAGGGAGTAATCCGTCCCTTTCCTTTTACATTTATGCATTTTATTCAATTTAGCATTATGCATATAGAAATAGATTTATTTTTACGTCGGTCCCGGGACATGCATGCATTAATTTTTTTGTTTCTATATTTTATACTAACTTATTTTCAAGTGTTTTTAATTTGTAGGTAAAGCTTATGTGGAGACGAGGGGATCCGCAAAGATCCTTCGATCTCGATTTCAAATCCAAGGTATATGATTTTAATACTATTTTTTTGTTTCCTATACATATATACTAATATCTATTTTAAATCTTTTTAGATGCATACGAGAGGGAGTGGCCGGATGATCGGACGACCGAATACATCATAGGGAGTAATCCGTCCCTTTCCTTTTACATTTATGCATTTTATTCAATTTAGCATTATGCATATAGAAATAGATTTATTTTTACGTCGGTCCCGGGACATGCATGCATTAATTTTTTTGTTTCTATATTTTATACTAACTTATTTTCAAGTGTTTTTAATTTGTAGGTAAAGCTTATGTGGAGACGAGGGGATCCGCAAAGATCCTTCGATCTCGATTTCAAATCCAAGGTAGGTGATTTTAATACTATTTTTTTGTTTCCTATACATATATACTAATATCTATTTTAAATCTTTTTAGATGCATACGAGAGGGAGTGGCCGGATGATCGGACGACCGAATACATCATAGGGAGTAATCCGTCCCTTTCCTTTTACATTTATGCATTTTATTCAATTTAGCATTATGCATATAGAAATAGATTTATTTTTACGTCGGTCCCGGGACATGCATGTATTAATTTTTTTGTTTCTATATTTTATACTAACTTATTTTCAAGTGTTTTTAATTTGTAGGTAAAGCTTATGTGGAGACGAGGGGATCCGCAAAGATCCTTCGATCTCGATTTCAAATCCAAGGTAGGTGATTTTAATACTATTTTTTGTTTCCTATACATATATACTAATATCTATTTTAAATCTTTTTAGATGCATACGAGAGGGAGTGGCCGGATGATCGGACGACCGAATACATCATAGGGAGTAATCCGTCCCTTTCCTTTTACATTTATGCATTTTATTCAATTTAGCATTATGTATATAGAAATAGATTTATTTTTATGTCGGTCCCGGGACATGCATGCATTAATTTTTTTGTTTCTATATTTTATACTAACTTATTTTCAAGTGTTTTTAATTTGTAGGTAAAGCTTATGTGGAGACGAGGGGATCCGCATAGATCCTTCGATCTCGATTTCAAATCCAAGGTAAGTAATTTTAATATTATTTTTTTGTTTCCTATACATATATACTAATATCTATTTTAAATCCTTTTAGGATCATACGAGAGGGAGCGGCCGGATGATCGGACGACCGAATACATCATAGGGAGTAATCCGTCCCTTTCCTTTTACATTTATGCATTTTATTCAATTTAGCATTATGCATATAGAAATAGATTTATTTTTACGTCGGTCCCGGGACATGCATGCATTAATTTTTTTGTTTCTATATTTTATACTAACTTATTTTCAAGTGTTTTTAATTTGTAGGTAAAGCTTATGTGGAGACGAGGGGATCCGCATAGATCCTTCGATCTCGATTTCAAATCCAAGGTAAGTAATTTTAATATTATTTTTTTGTTTCCTATACATATATACTAATATCTATTTTAAATCCTTTTAGATCATACGAGAGGGAGCGGCCGGATGATCGGACGACCGAATACATCATAGGGAGTAATCCGTCCCTTTCCTTTTACATTTATGCATTTTATTCAATTTAGCATTATGCATATAGAAATAGATTTATTTTTACGTCGGTCCCGGGACATGCATGCATTAATTTTTTTGTTTCTATATTTTATACTAACTTATTTTCAAGTGTTTTTAATTTGTAGGTAAAGCTTATGTGGAGACGAGGGGATCCGCAAAGATCCTTCGATCTCGATTTCAAATCCAAGGTAGGTGATTTTAATACTATTTTTTTGTTTCCTATACATATATACTAATATCTATTTTAAATCTTTTTAGATGCATACGAGAGGGAGTGGCCGGATGATCGGACGACCGAATACATCATAGGGAGTAATCCGTCCATTTCCTTTTACATTTATGCATTTTATTTAATTTAGCATTATGCATATAGAAATAGATTTATTTTTACGTCGGTCCCGGGACATGCATGCATTAATTTTTTTGATTCTATATTTTATACTAACTTATTTTCAAGTGTTTTTAATTTGTAGGTAAAGCTTATGTGGAGACGAGGGGATCCGCAAAGATCCTTCGATCTCGATTTCAAATCCAAGGTAAGTGATTTTAATACTATTTTTTTGTTTCCTATACATATATACTAATATCTATTTTAAATCTTTTTAGATGCATACGAGAGGGAGTGGCCGGATGATCGGACGACCGAATACATCATAGGGAGTAATCCGTCCCTTTCCTTTTACATTTATGCATTTTATTCAATTTAGCATTATGCATATAGAAATAGATTTATTTTTATGTCGGTCCCGGGACATGCATGCATTAATTTTTTTGTTTCTATATTTTATACTAACTTATTTTCAAGTGTTTTTAATTTGTAGGTAAAGCTTATGTGGAGACGAGGGGATCCGCAAAGATCCTTCGATCTCGATTTCAAATCCAAGGTATGTGATTTTAATACTATTTTTTTGTTTCCTATACATATATACTAATATCTATTTTAAATCTTTTTAGATGCATACGAGAGGGAGTGGCCGGATGATCGGACGACCGAATACATCATAGGGAGTAATCCGTCCCTTTCCTTTTACATTTATGCATTTTATTCAATTTAGCATTATGCATATAGAAATAGATTTATTTTTACGTCGGTCCCGGGACATGCATGCATTAATTTTTTTGTTTCTATATTTTATACTAACTTATTTTCAAGTGTTTTTAATTTGTAGGTAAAGCTTATGTGGAGACGAGGGGATCCGCAAAGATCCTTCGATCTCGATTTCAAATCCAAGGTAGGTGATTTTAATACTATTTTTTTGTTTCCTATACATATATACTAATATCTATTTTAAATCTTTTTAGATGCATACGAGAGGGAGTGGCCGGATGATCGGACGACCGAATACATCATAGGGAGTAATCCGTCCCTTTCCTTTTACATTTATGCATTTTATTTAATTTAGCATTATGCATATAGAAATAGATTTATTTTTACGTCGGTCCGGGACATGCATGCATTAATTTTTTTTGATTCTATATTTTATACTAACTTATTTTCAAGTGTTTTTAATTTGTAGGTAAAGCTTATGTGGAGACGAGGGGATCCGCAAAGATCCTTCGATCTCGATTTCAAATCCAAGGTAAGTGATTTTAATACTATTTTTTTGTTTCCTATACATATATACTAATATCTATTTTAAATCTTTTTAGATGCATACGAGAGGGAGTGGCCGGATGATCGGATGACCGAAAATAAAGAGTAGTTAGTCGTTTTTCTTTTATATTTTCGCATTGCATTTACATTAGCATCTTACATATAATAATAGAATTATGTTTAGGTCCCGGGACTTGGATGTATTAATTTTGTTTCTAAATTTTATCCTTGTTTGTTTTAAAGTGTATTTTGTTTGTAAGTAAAGTTTATGTGGAGTCTACTACTATCAAATCCATATTCGACACGAACAAATAAAGATTTGGGTCTAAAAATTAGTTGCAAACTATTTTTAGGTCAGGCCAACCCAGTATGGTTGAATAACCAAACTTGGTTTGAGGCCTATGCAAATTATGACGTGCCTAGCAGTGTCTAGTTGATTAAAATATTTTAAGAAAAAATAATTTTTAATATAAATTATCTATATAATAAAATTAATAATTAATTAATGTTTAAATTCTTAATTATCAATAAAATACTTTGTCCTAATTATATCAATTTAGATTAATATAATTTATTATTTAATAAAATATGATATATTATTTTTAAAATCTAATATTAAAAATCTGAGTTGGGCTAAGCTTGCCCGGTGTAATTTGAAACCGGGCCATGCCTTGGTTTGGGTTTTCAAGCCCAATGCAAAATCAGGCCGAACCTATCGGACCTGAATTTTAAAACAGCCCAAGCCAGCCCAAAAAATATTACTCCCTCCCTCGCAAAAAATGCACTAATTTTTTGCGTGATGGGGGGAGTAATACCAGCTTTAAATTGCCACATTTTTTTTTTCAAATATGATATCAACTTTCTCAAATAATAAAAGCAACATACCTTGAAATATGAATCCACCGATATGCTGAAAGTTTTTTCTTTAAATCCGCCGATATGCTGAAGCTTATTCCAGCAATACCTTTTTATCGAACTGCAATGGTGCACCAGAGAAGTCATTTTCCAATGCTTTTACATATACCTCTTGAAAGTAAGAAATTAAGTAAAAAAAAAAAAAAGACAAATCATGCCTACACTGGTTTTTCAAATATCTATTATCATGAAATTGTCCAAAGCATTATTATTACGAAATACAGTTTACCAATTCTCTAAACTAAGACTACTTAGTATCAGCTCGCAAACAATTTGTCCATACCATCTTTAACGTGCCAACATAACTCAGGGGAAGAAAAAAAATGCCCGTGAGAAAATTATTGAGCACAACATGACAACTATTTTAAACATTTTAATAAAATTTGACCCATTTGCCTTATGAAAATATGTTCAGCAATTAGTGGACAAAAAATTAATGTTCATACATAGACGCGAATACTAGAAACCATATTATTCTTTTTGTACATTTTTTATTATAAAACTCAAAAGGTAACAAAAAGTACACAACCATTTAAATAACACGTTACAATACTTCAAATACACATTCGACTACGCATACCTGCAATACCCCTGGGTTTATTTGCAATAGTTTTATTTATAAGAGGAAATAAAATTTATTTATTGAGAAGATAAATATTGCATTCAAATTATATAATTTAGATAAAAGAAAATTTATAGTCCTCCTCTCTTTACTTTTTATTTGCAATAGTTTTATAATTGTTTTTTAATTATAAAAGAGAAAAAAAAAGAAGCTATAAAAAAAAAAAATAAATAAAAAAAATCAGAATATTTCACATTAAAAACAATATATAATAAATACTAACCTCCTCTACTAAAAAACTATGGCCATATTTGGGTTGCGCACAAAATTTAAAGAATATTAATATTATATTGATAGTCGGTAAAAAATATAAGTATAAAAAGTAGTAGCATTTGTGTAACAATAATAAAAAAATAATATTAAATTTTGCAGGATTTTACATGCTCGAGAGGTACGTCCGATCACTTGTGATTTCATTAGTATTATAAATATAAAAATATTAATATTTTTAATTTTAAAAATTTTAAAAAATCATTTCTAAAAATAAATAGAAACAAAACGGTCATATTTTAAAAGTTTTTTTTATCGTAATGATTTCATTAGTATTATAGTAATATATATAATATAAATATTTTTTAATTATAGAGATTTTTTTTAAAAAAATTACTTGTAAAAATAAATAGAGACCATAACGGTCATAATAATAAGATTTTAAAAGATCTTATGACTAATGGTTTCCTTAATTGCTAATCACCAACAGACTTGGATTGGGCAAGAAGAAAAAAGAACGAAGGAAAGGTAGACTTGGATGGTTAGAGATTCGACCTGGACTGCTGCTTGCAGCAGCTCCATTTTTGGGTGACACAGTGCGCAAACCATTGGGAGTGCGAGGGGATGATTTCACCTGACAAAAAAAAAGAGAGAATACTTCAGTAATACAACTCAGAGAGTATGATATCCGAAATTCAGTAAATGTAATTGAGATCACTTGCAATGGGACTCTTATATGCATTACTAACCCCATCAAGAACCCGATTTTGGGAGAAGGCATTCGTAATCCTGTCGGTTTCCCTAAACCCTGAACAACGCTACTGGATTGCCCTCTGCCTGAAGTAGAAGAATTCGTTAGAGAAGTCTTCGATGGCTGGCACTGCAGGCCTTGGCAACATCCTTCCTGCGCCGACAGCTACTTTTGGGAGTTGCGTTCCTTTACTTGTAGTAGTTAGTGTCAATAAATAATACTAACATTAGGCACAAGACGATTTCTGATTTCATTTAAACACACAAACACACACAAGATGAGTTCCTTGGCAATGATTTCTGATACTTTCAAATCCCCATTGAAGTGAAAACTTAAAACCAAATTTACAAGAATCGAATCAAATGAAAACTTCAGATACTTTCAAATGTACTGCATATCTCATCCCAAACCTAGTTTGGAAGCTTAAACCATTCGACAAGATAAGAACACTAACAATTTCTTAAACATATCCAAAACTTGACTGTGCTAAATGCTAACACTAAATAAACAACAGCTGTAAGAATTTGCACCTTCTAAGGCAATATTATGATTCATTTAGATAACCTACAGGCTCTGCAACCAACTATGATTAGAGCTAAGAACAACAACTTAGCAGAATTCATTCAATGGATGCAATTTAATCAATAAGAAAGAATTAATCTACCAACTTCAAATCGTGTTACCCAAATTTATAGATAAAGTGAATATTCGGAGCTAAAACCTAATTTGAACAGAGTTAAGGAGCAGAGCAAAACAAAAATTAAGCCAGTCAAATTTCAACCAGGCAAATAAACCAAAATCAACCGACTGAATCATCGAGGAAGATAATCAAAGCATCTACGCCCAAAATGCTACCATACTCACAAGATGATCAGCATAAAGTTGTATTATTAACTGGAACAAGGAGAGCTTCGAATTCATACCTGATCAGAATCGCTGATTCATTCATTCACACAGTCGAATTCATTCCCAGGATCATCCGTGCTCGGAAATGAAATGCCTGAATCCCAGTCACCATAGCATCAGGAAGACCTCTCCTACACCGCTGCTCCATCTCCCGAAAACAACGCCTCCACAGATCCATCCCGGCGGTTCCGAACCCAACCTTTCAACCCTAACTCCTTCGCATTATCAATCGTCCAATTCCGATAGATCCGACGCACCTTGCACTCTCCCCCTTATCACCATTCTCACCTGATTCAAACACCAAATTAGAACGAAACAGAAATCTATTAATGAAATTGAGAAATCGCTTACTGTTTTGACAGAGGCCTCCTCCTGCGGCGAGTTCATCGAGGACATAGTAGAGAATAGAGTGCGTAGACGGTGTCGGAGCAGAGGAGGAGGAGAATGAGGAAGATGAAGACGACGGTACAGCGGAGGAGGAGAATGAGGAAGATGAAGACGACGGTACAGCGGAGGAGGAGAACGAGGAAGAAGAGAAGTATGATGAGGAAGAAGAGGAGGTCGCGCGAATGTCAGGCGGCAGAGCGCATTGGCATTGCTACGCCATTGGAGATGCTTCAGATCTGAAATCGTGGTTTGGAACAATAGCGATTTTGTCGCCATTTCTGTTAAAGTCGCAAATCGGAAGTGTGGAAAAGTGATTGGTAGTGTTGTTTGTGGTTCTGCCAGAGTAACTATGGGTGTGTTTGTTTGGGGTTGAATTTTGAATTGGGATTTGAATAGTTAAAATTTTGAATTTAAATAGTTGTATAATGTGATATAAATAGATATTGATGCGATGTTTTAAATGTAAAATTGATTTTTAGTATAATATAAAAAAAAAAAATAAATGTTTGATTTGATGTTTTTTGGGAAAAAAATGGGATGAATAGTAAAACTTAAATCCAATTCCCTAAACAAACACACCTTTAAATGAGTTGTTTATTGTATGGGCCTAAACTAAAAATGGGTTCTGGCATAGTAATTATGTGTTTGTTTGGGGTAATGGATTTTAAATTCACTGTTCATCCTATTTATTTATTTTTTTCAAAAATATCAAATTAAATACCTATTTTTTATTTTTTATATTATACTAAAATTAATTTTACATCCAAACATCAAATCAACACACTTTATATCGCATCATACATTATTCAAATTTAAAATTTCTAGTATTCAAATCTCAACTCAAAATCCAAACCTCCAAGCTAAGCACCCTATATCTTTGTCAGTCCAGTAACTCCAGCCCAATAAAATATCTAATAAAATATTGTTACTTTTATTAATAATATTTATGAAAATTTATCCATTAAAAATATTAGATAAACATTATGATATTTTTTTTATTCAAAAATCAGAAAATTTACGAAAAATCAAAATTGAATCTAAAACTTAAGCTCAAAAGATTTTGGCCGAGCCGGGTCTATGCAAATCAAACCGTGCCTAGTGCAATTTTTTTTTATGCAAATCGAACTGTGCCTAGTTCAATTTTTTTTTAAAAAAAAAATTGTTTAAATATTTTTTAATATATAATAAAATTACAACGTAATTGCACATTTATGGGGTGTATTCAATAGAGATTTTTTTGGATTTTATTGGAGTCTTAAAATTTTGGTGTATTCAATCCAGATTTTAAAAAGATTTTAAAATTTGAATGTATTCAATTCAGATTTTAAAAAGTTTTTTAAAATTTTAAGTGATTCAAGAATCCATAACTTTAAAAATCCATGGATTTTGTTGGATTCTTTAATAAAATTGTTACAAATCTTGTTATAAAGTGAGATTTCAATGGATTCCCAAAATTAGTAACAATGTACATATTATTTTATTTATAGCATTAATAACTTTATTATTTTATATGTATTTATTATTTTATTATAATAATATCAATAAGATAAAAAAAAAAATTTAATGTCTAATATAAAAATTACAAATATTTTAAATTTTTATATATTTGAAATAATATTAAAAATTATATATATAAAAAATACAAATAAACTTGTTCAAATAATTTGAATTAAAATTATCAGTTTTAATGTTTGAAAATGTCAAATCAAAATGAAATTTTCTATAATTTTAATTTATATTTTCTTATTTCGATTTCAATTCTGTCGGTTCAAAAACCACCGATTATATTTGACAATGTTAGTTTATGTTTATTCCTTTTTAATTATTTTATTTTTAATTTTAATTAATAAAAAATATAATTTTAATGTTATTTTATTTATAAATATATTTTTTTATAAAAATTCATATAAATAATAATAATAACAATTAAATAAATTGTTACAAAATAAAAATTAATTGCGCTGAATATATATAATATAATAAATCCGATTAAATAATACTATAACAAAAAATATAAATTTAAAATATTATTATTATTATTAAACTAAAATAAAAATGAGAATAATAATAAATATATTTTTTGAGAACTAATGTACTTTTAATATTTTTGTTAAATATTTGAATTTTTATATATAAATACAAGTGTACTGTATATATTTGAAATTATATAAATCACTAAAAAAAATTATTTAATCCACCATTTATAAACTCTAATCAAGTTTACAGAAATAAATAAATAATCCAATCAAATCTATCAAAATTCATATAAATCAATACATAAAATCAATTAAACTCTACATAGATTCTATAGAATTTATAAATTCACTCAAGTTTACAAACTTTTTAAAATCCAAACAAATTCATTAAAATTCTAATTGAATACACCCTCTAATGTTCATGTTATTGACAACCAATAAAAATATTTTATTATATTTTATATTTATTTTACAAAAAACATTTGTACCAAAATTCAAAAAGTTTTATATCCAAAACATAAAAGACAGTATTTACTTGAAATTTTATTTTAATTTTTTTATATCACATATTAATTTATTTTTATCATAAATTTTACCTCAAATATTTGAATTTTTTAATTATTTTAAAATATTTAAAACTTTATAAATATATTTTTTAATATATGTCTAAATAAATCCCTAGGTACAAGCAGCCGACAAGACATACATTTGTAATAAACTAATAAAAATAATTTTTTTTAAAAAAAAAAAAAACTAAGAATGTTCTTTTTTTTTTGTACGCTTAATTCTAGTTAGTTAATATTTTTTTTCTATGACATAAAAATCCGCAACCATTACCCGAAAGTGGACATCTGGTAAACTCCTAGCCGCACTTAGTAGTTAGTACCCTGCAAATAATTAGCTAGGAGTATTTTTTATGACGGCTATTGGAGTTTGGACTGTTTCATATTAGAATCTTTTTCACTTTTTTGTAAGATGACATTTTTGTAAAAATTAGTTTTTTTTTTTTTTAAATTTTCATATTATTAATAAAATTATAATTTTTTAAATATAGTATATTACAATTTTTTTTTATAAAATATTGCATTAAATATTCATTATTTTTCTATTATTCTGAATTTTTTTTAAAATTTATAAACTTTCATCTAAAGTGAATGGTTTTATATTTAACTCTACATAAATTAAATGAATATATTAGTAATATTTTCTAATTAATAAAATACTATTATTTTTTAATCTACCGTATAACTCAAAAATACTGAATTGAGCCGGAGGGATTATTATTTTATTTTATGCTTCCCCAAGATTAAAAATAAAATATATACGGTATAATATTTTTCATTTCTTTTATAAAATAAAAAAAAAAATAGTGAACTCATAAAACAAAATATTATATACAAAATTTTAATGAAACAAAAGTTTAATTTAAAAAAAAAAAAAAAACCCAAATATTGATATGACGTGATATTAATTATGCTTTTAAGATATTTTTATCAAATACTTAAATTCATAATGTAATTAATAATTTGAATAAATTTTATTTTCCATTTGTCGTTAATGTCATTATCATCGTATTAATTTTAATTAATTAATTATGAGTGTCCACTTGCATGCTATTTTGTCCTTTTCTTCGTTACTTCTTATTTATCGTTTTACTTTAATTTTTATGAATGAAATTATTATGCCACTAATTGATCATGAGTGAGAAAGCATTATACTGCTATTTTTATTTTTTTTAAGAGTTAAATTTTAATTTATTTACTATGTAATTTTATTATCCATTATAAAAGAAAAAAAATATTTATTATTATAAAATATTATATTTATCTATTATGTTGGAACTGGGCCAACTCAACACTAATATGGTATTATCTGCTTTGGGCTGAGCCCGCACGGATTTGTTTTTGAATATCCTCCAAAAGACCTCGTACTAGTGGAGTTCACTTGGGACTTATATTTTTTTCGCAACTTCCAACGTGGGACTTGAGATTGCACCCCAACATATTATTTGAATAAAAAATTAAAATAAGAACACAAAATCAAATTAAAAAAATAAAAAAATCATTATGAAATTATACAATAAGTGTGTTTCTTTAATAATTTTTATAAGTTAAATTGATTCTAATTTAAATTGAAATTAAATATTATTTATAATTTTTATAAAAATATATTATTTTTTAGTGAAAATATTATATTAGAATACTAATTAAATAAAATGAATATTTGTGTCGTATTTACTATTTGTTGTAGATTTTATGTCAGTTATTAATATTTTTAATTTTATTTAGGTAAATTTATTATTATTATTTTTTAAATTATAAAAACAATACTACTTTCTTTAAATAATGTAAGATAAAAAGAATAAAATGAATATTTTGAGTGATATAATATTGGATATAATATTAAAAAAATAAATTAAATAATAGAAAAGAATTAAAATTGATGCTTATTTACGCTTTAAGTATTACATTTATTTTTTGTAAGTATTAGATTTAACATTAAATATATTTTTATATTTGTGTAATTTTTTATACAAATATTATTATACTAGTATAATAAGACACTAATATAAATAATTTTTTTTAATTTGTATTACACTTTGATATAATAATTAATATTTAGAGATCATATCCAAATGTAAAAAGTAAATATTACAAGGACGGAAGGAGGAAGCATTATTTTTTTTAAGGAAAAAAATAATTTTTGGTCCCAATATAACAAAAATTAATCAATTTTGGTCATAATATAAACATCTTATCAATTTTGGTCCAAATATAACCAAAACTCATCATTTTTTGTCTCAATATAAATTTTTTATCAATTTTAGTCCCAATATAACCAAAATTCATCATTTTTGGTCAAATATAATTTAACCTTATCTTTTTTTGTCCCACCGTTAACAAACCGACGAAAATGCTGACATAGACTTGCAAGATTGTGCAATTTCTTCAAATATAAATATAAGATTTGATTTCTTTTCAAGTTAATATTTTCCGTCGGTTTGTTGATTGTGGGAAAAAAAAAAGGTTTGATTATATTCGGACAAAAAATGATGAGTTTTGGTTATATTGGGACAAAAATGATGAGTTTTTGTATATTGAGACCACAATTAATAAAACTTTTATATTGAGACCAAAATTGATAAAATGTATATTTTTAATTGAGATAAATGAACATAGTAAAAAGAATACTTTAAGGGTGTGTTTGTTTGAGGGTTTGAATTTTGAGTTGGGATTTGAATAGTAAAAATTTTGAATTTGAACAGTTGTATGATGTGATATAAATAGGTGTTGATGTGATGTTTTGAATGTAAAATTGATTTT